TTGAGACATACATATTTAGCATTTATACTTTTTTGATGTTGTTCCAACTCATGATAATGTGTCTTTTTATGGGTACACTTTGAAATGAAATCAAACAATATGGGTACAAGGTTGAGTAGTTCTTCTCATATATACTTTTCCCCTTTTTAACTAGATAAACGTGAAGGTCGAGATGATAGCCAAAATCCATCTCTAAGATGGGTTCTATAAGGTAGATGCACCTTAGTTCTTGCCCTAAAATGCAGTTTTGACACCAAAAAAACCTATCTTGACCTCCAAATTCATCTATTTGTAAGAGAACAGTAAACACCAAAACTTAAAAATGGTTGGGCTAATAACACATGTTTGGAATGAATTGCAACTATGTATTATTTTTAAAACTTTAAATTTTATAGTTCGAGATAAAACAAGATTTATAACACTATAAAGGTTTTCCGACACCACAACTACATGTTCTGACTTGAGTATGGGGATAGAGGCTTTGTGTTTAGAGGGGGCTGATGCGTCAACATAATGCCTCACCGTCCATTCTAGGGGTGGCAATGGACCCTATCCTGACTTGGAACCCAAGGGGTAGACCTGGTCCTGGTCCGGGTAATCTAGGCTTATGTGTGGGTCTAAAAATTAAACCCAACAGGACAAGTCCAAGTCCAAAACTTGGACTCAAACGCTAATCCCCACTGAACCCCATTCCTACCATTTACATGTCAAGAAAAAAAAAAAAACAGAGAGGGAGAAGACGAAGAAAAAGGGAAAGACAAGAACTTGCATGTTCTGACCCCATGTTAAAATGGCATCTCTTTTTTCACATGGTAAGTGGCCTGTCTTTGACATTTCGGCCAAAAGCAAAGAAGAAAGCCCCGCCCAGCTACAAAAAGGTGAATGTGACCAAAAGCAAATGGAAAAGAGCGCCAAATTGCAACTATTCAAATTCATTATTCAACAAGGGAATATTGCCTTTTTTCAGTCCTTTCTTCTCTAAGCAACTTTTAGCATGGGCATAGAATAAAAATAACACGCAAACTAGAGGTGAGAAAAGTTAAAAATATATATAAGAAAATAAAGAAAATGGTTTGATAGGGCTGCCCTATCAAAATAACTAAAGCCTCTTTTTATAACTCAATTTTGTTTTCAGGTCAAGCATTATAAAAATAATAAGATTTCAAGTTCTAAAAATAATGTATATTATAATAAATTATCTAGACCGTTTTTTTCACCCTAAAAATAAGTATTCATAGATCCGCAAGATCCGAACCATTTTTCGAGTTTCAAATTTTATTGTCAATCTCATAAATTGATTTTTAGGACCATCATGGAGATTTCCTTTGCCAAAATTGCATTTCATATGAGGATTTGAGATATTTCATTTACTTTGGTAAACCCTCATATAAGAATAATCTAGGACTAAATTTTAGGGATGTAACTTCTTCAACCTGTAAATTGACTTCTCTAAACAAAACATTCGGAATTGCAATCTCAATGTACGAAAATAATATATTATATAAAGATTGAACAAAGACCGTCCAATTTTTTGAAGGACGAGATCTAAGTGTCCAAAAACTCATAATTAGTGATTCTGGGTGGTTCCCTAAACATTAAATTGGAAAATTTTCCCACACAGGTTTTTTGAGTGAGGGAGTAGATGCCCAATATTGCTCTTGAGGGAGCATAGTATGCTCGCTCTTCTAATAATACTCAACATCACATGTCAATCTCTAGCAGTAAAGGATGAGGTTTTGGTAAAGCGACGCCTTTGCAAAAGTCGGCGAAAGGCGGCAGCCCAAAACTCCGATGGAAAAACTAGATTGGTCGATGTGATGATTGATTTGCAAGTTTTCGGTTTGATGTGGGTTTGTTTAAAGTCTAAACTCTAGTGAATACGTTTTGAACAATAAATGGAAAAGTTAATATGAGGTTCTAATCACATCCGATTCCCTTTCAAATTTTGATATTGTTGCCAAAAAAACCTCAATGATATCTCAAAGTTAGTTTCGAAATTTAAAGCAACACAAAATGGCGTTAATTTATTAAAGGAAAAGTATATAACGAGACCATTTACTTTTGGTATAAGGTGGTCACAATTATTCTTAACCATTGAATATGAAATTGGGTGGCTGTATTTATTTTATCGACCAAGCTTAAAGTTTCAAATAAATTTTATCAAACTTTGTGACACACTTAAACTATCAGATATCATATCGAATGGTTGTTAGTAATTGTGACCCACCTGCATCAAAGGTAAATGGTCTTATATACAATCCCTTTAGTAAATTTTTAATTATTAAAAATCTTAAAATAGATGACATTGATAATGTGTTATAAGATGTACTATTTTCACGAGTTATTATTTATTTATTATTATTCATGTATTTTCTCAAGACACTCAATTTGAAAGTTTTTTAGGATTAGAACAATCTCTTTCACTTCGTAAGTTATACGTACTATGAAGTTGACATCTTATACAAACTTTATTTGAACAAATAAATGACCTTGTATCTCTCTCGCCTTCAAATTTAAAGCACTATTTATATTAGTTTTAGGAAAAAAATAAAAATTTTTATTATATATTCAAATATTCAAAAAATGACATCTATATGCTCAATAGCCTCTTTTTTCTTTTATTATTTTTTATTTTTTAACTCAAAATACCCTTCACGGCCGTGCTGTGATGCCCAAGGCACCATCATGGGTGTACCCTTGGGTGCATCCAAAAGTCCAAGGCAACCCCAATATGGCTCTAATAAGGTCGTGACGGCGCATAGGGCCGTGATGCCTAAGGTAACACTAAGTAATTAATGGGTGCAATGTCAACTTTAAAAGATCAAAGTAAGGTGCATATTTAAATTTTATTGAAGGATGTAACTTTGATGTCATAAATTTTTAGGATGGTTTGAAAATCAAAATTTATCTCTAATTATAAAATTCAAAGATCTATAAATACTTAAAAATAAATGGTTCAGATAATACGTTACATGGCGCAATATTTTTAGGACAAGCAATAAATTTTTTGTCAGTTTCATACCTCTCAACATCGAGATAATCAATCAGAAGGTTTTCCAGGGCCAGAACAATATCTTTCAACCAATTTTAGATGTGCGCATTATTTCTACATTATAAAACCGACATCTAATATAATTTGTTTTCTTAATTAATTTTTGGAAAAGTATATAAAAAAAATATTTACTTTTAATACAAGTAGGTCATGCTCGCTCTTGTCAGTCAAACTTTAAATTAGGTGGTTATGAGTGTGTAATTGACAAGATACAAAGTTAAAAAGATTTTTTTTTTTGAATTTTATAAGATACTCAAGACATCTAATTTATAATCTAATGGGCAGAAGCAGACAGATTGGTGACCAGGATCGAGCATTACAAAATCGATCTAGATCGATGAATTGATGGTCAAGATTGCCGTTTTAATATGCGGAAAAATTATGAACCGGTGAAAAAACATGTGTAAAAAATAGTGAACCAAGATCGGTAAATCGAGATTTTTACCTCAACAAAATGCCTTTTTTACTGTAGCAAATAACCAATTATCTTATAGACTCGAATAATTTCCTATATATTAACATAATCGATACGGGATGAGCGATCAATTGAACCGAATCGACAATTCCGTGCCAACCCGTGCGTTTTTTAAATAATTGGCGAGAAGCAATCGTAACCTCTTGGAACAAACATCATAGTACTCAAACCCTTAATTTTAAGCCCTAAAAACTGTAATTAAGCGCGGACGTTTCACCTCCTTGCATTGTTGACCTCAACATGCCCACAAGGCCGTTACAATCCCTTTCAAAAACCGTGGGCATTTTTGTCATTTCTTCCAAAGACAAGAAAACCCTGAGAGAGTGGCCTCAGCATTCGTCAAACCCAAGGTTGTTTCAGTCATTTTGCACTTAACTTTCTTCCCTGCGTTTTGAAATTTGAAGCAGAAAAATGTCTTATTTTTCACTTTGCTATGCGCGCTTGTTGGGCTGCCACGTGTCCCACTGACGCGGCCATCGGACAGTTCAAATTTCATCTCAGATTATGCGATAACGTGGAAAACTCTGGGCCGTCTATTAGGTTATCCAATGTATATAAATAACCTTTTGTTTTTTTTGTTTTTGTTAAAGCTGCATCACAGTCTGCTTTGAAGCGGGTTCACATTCCAACCCTCAACTTCGTTCAAAAAGCAAGCGAGGAAAACCCTAACCCCGATCACATCTGTGAGTTTTTTTTTTGTTTATTTCGTCGATTGATTTTCTTGTTTGCAATTACAATTTCAGTGACTTTTTTTTTGAAGATCTTTTGTTTGTTTTGATTGATTATATTTTTGAAGTTTATTGCATTTTTCCCATAAAGGCTATTGCATTTTTTTTGTCTATTTTTTATTGATTGTTCTCGCTGTTTATTACAAAGGTTTTAGTGGTTATTTTGCCTTATTTTCGATTAATGTGGCCTGCAAATCCTTCAAAGGAAGCTGCTTTTTTTTTTTTAAATCCTAGATCTGGTTTTTCCTTTTATTTTGTTCCTTAAAATGAGCCTGGATCATCCGAACCGGAGCTAGCAATGAAACTTTGATTTTCTTTTTAGTTTCTGGAAAAATGGATGCAATAAACTGGTACGCATTGTATTCGAGCATCTGCATTTGATGTTTTTCTTTTGAGTTTTTCCTTAAAGACAGGTGGATCTGGCTTTAATGGAATTTACTTTCCCTTTTTTATATTCATGGACATGGTGATGTTTGCTTCTACTCTCTCTCTCTATATCTCTTTAAAAAAGCCTCTAAACTTTGGTGTTTCAAAGGATTGTTCTCTCCCTGTCTTTCTCTTTTCTTCTTTTATTTCTCTCCAGAAGAGCCTCTCAAATATGGTGTTTCAAGGGATTGGACCCTCTCTCTCCTCATCTTCTCTATCTCTCTCTTTCTCTCCGCTTTCATTTTTCTCCTGAAGAGCCTCTGAAATTTGGTTTTTCAGGGGATTGAATTCTCTCTCTCTCTCTCTTATATTTTATCTCTCTCCTCATCTATCTCTAGCGTCTAGGAGAGTATTTGAGAAAGGTTAACTTTATATTATTAATTGTAAAGTATAGAAAAACTCCGAGATGTGGTATAGGGGCAGCCCACAAGATGGGTGCTTAGAGTACAAAAGAGATAGGGAGAGCAGAAAATGTCCAGAGAAAAATTTTAAAAACAAGGAACCAAAATGACTGAAGTGACAATAAAATGAGGAAGAAGGAATTCTTTGCGCAATCTACATCATCTGGGGTGACTAAGGATCGAGCAACTTGTGGATGCAAAACTCAAAGCGAAGGCTGCCAAGTGAACAATAGTAGGCATGGGAAAGAAACAGAAAAATGAGTCTTTGAAATTTGGTTTTTAAATGGATTGGCGTTCTCTCTAAAATGTGATGCGTTGATGTTTTCTTCACTCAATGTCTTCTTGTTTAATAATTGTTGATTTTTCCTTCACTCTATGCCCGACCATTTATCTCAAGTAAAGCCTCTGAAATCAGGTGTGTTTGAGGGATTGTGCTCTCTTCCTCTCTCTCTGCCCCCCCCCCCCTTCCCCCCCCCCTTCCCCCCCCCCCTTTTATCTCTCTCTATGAGCCTGTAAATTAGTGCTTCAGGGATTTGGTTCACTCTCTATTTAAAAGTTGATTTGTTTCCTGTTAGGAATACTCTGATGTTCCTGTAAATTAGTGCTTCAGGGATTTGGTTCACTCTCTATTTAAAAGTTGATTTGTTTCCTGTTAGGAATACTCTGATGTTCCCTTTACTCTTAACTTCGTTTATCTCTTTTAAGAAATGTTCATAAAGATGGATATCTCTCTTGCTTAGGAATATGCCTGAAGGTACAGACGAATCAGGTTCACATGCGGAGTCCATAATGGAGAAGATTAAGGAGAAGATTCATGGAGAAGATGACTCTTCTTCTTCTTCTTCTTCTTCGGATTCTGAGACTGAGAAGCCGTCACTTTCAGCTGCAAAGGCAAAGGTTAATCGATTATTTGGTAGACAGAAGCCGGTTCATTCTGTTCTAGGAGGTGGAAAACGTAAGTCTTTTTTTGTTTTTCTAAATACCTTTTTCTATAGCTAGTGTATTATTATGACCTCTTCGGTTTTGAATTGAATCTGTTCTAGGGAAGTTGTTGATCTACACCATATTTTTTCTGTTTTATTTTAAGTGTTTGGCACTTCATGGTTTCTGCATTTTTTACTCTGTTATTTAAATGTTGTTTCCATGATTATTTATATGAATTTCCATTGTTTGTTTAAGGTAAATATTGGATTATTATCAATATCAATATTTTTTGCCTGATTTTTTGTGTGTAAATACCTTGTGGTTAAAATATTTCAGACATATTTATGCATTTGGGCTGTATATTTCTTTTCCTCATGTTGATTATGAATACGTGTTTTTATGAGCATGATGGGTTGAATATCAGTGTTATATGGACTCCGACACTAGTATCAATGTCTGGTGCCTTTCCCTGGTGTCTAGACTCTAGTATTTGTTTATAAAGGACCATGCAGGTAGTTTACTTCTTTGTTAATATGTTAACAACAAATGCATATAGCAGATATGCATAATGCTATACGTGTACGAAATGGGGCTTATTTTTATTGAGTCTAGGACAATTCACATTTGTATATAATAATAAACGTGCCATGGATAGTAGCATTTATACTTTTGGTTTCCAATGACTGCACAATTTAAATCGATGAGTATTAAACTTTCGGAGAGTACGATACAATTCAACTTTATGGTGCATTGTTTATTCTTTTTAACTTGTCATTGAAAGGTGGTAGGTACAAATCCCACACATAACTTGCACTTTATTGTAATACAAAATGCTCAGGTTTTGTGTTCCATTGAGATAGCTTCATACATGTGTTGATAATCCTTTTTGGTGTTATTATTCTTGAGAGATGTATAGATTGCGTGTCATTCCTGTGTTTGGGTGTGTTCACGGATATATAAGTGACGCTTTGTGTTAAAACATGACAGAGAAAACATGGAGTGCCGTGTTTTGTTCAATACTTGCTGCATTTACTTTTAATGTGCTTTATAATTATCATAAAAAAATGAAAATAACAATGATAATGGAAAAGGTGGAAATAAAAATTGTGGTTGGTCATTGTTGTTAAATGATTTATTTTGTTCTTCGTGTTGATGATTCGATAGAGGGACAAACTTCATTTATTTAAGAATTTAGAAATATGTTTTCTTGGAACATTCGGAGTTAAAAGTTTTTATGTACTTAAAAAAATGCCGTTGACGTTTGAGTATTGAGAAACAGGTTTTTCGAACCTTTTTACTCTCCTTTTAACATTTAGAGCTTCGGTATTTGTGTGCGTGCGCTTGTGCATACATGTCATGCGGGCATACGTGTGTGTGTGCAGTGTTGGAAAATTTAGGGAGTCCCCTCAGATTTGTTCGTATCACTTTGTCTTAGAACCTTACGCACCTGGAACTGAACATTTGAGATCGGACTGAGTTTGGCTAGTTTCCTATATCTTACCACCAAGTCCCTGAGATGCTTGGCCAAGCCTATTGGAGTTGACTTGGGCTCTAGACTAGCATATTTTGACTTGAGATCTGGTTATCCAACACTTTGAAAGTGAGAGAGAGTGGGCTCTAGACTAGTGTATTTTGACTTGAGAGAGATCTTGTTATCCAACACTTTGAGAGTGAGAGAGAGTGGGCTCTAGACTAACGTATTTTGACTTGAGATCTTGTTATCCAACACTTTGTGAGAGAGAGAGAGAGAGAGAGAGAGAGAGAGAGAGAGAGAGAGAGAGAGAGAGAGAGAGAGAGAGAGAGAGTAGTAGTAGTAGTAGTAGTAGTAGTAGTAGTAGTACGTACGTAGTAGTTCGTAGTTACGTTAGTTACGTTAGTTAGTTACGTTAGTTAGTTACGTTAGTTACGTTAGTTACGTTA